ATTGTGTTAATCTATACGGAGTATATGTTTGAGAGGAAGTATGTTTTCACATGTCAGCTCGTTTGAAATCTTCAGGTCCGGTCTGTCTGGTCTGATCTGTTTAGTCTGATGTAGACTGATTTCATATGAACTGGTCTAGTATACGTTTGTTCAATGTGTACTTTGCGTCTGTTGAATTCTGACCTGGTTTGATCTAACAATAGTTGTAGTAGCACTTAAAAAAACAAATACTTTTTAAAAAGTTTAAATATGTTTTTATCTTTATATATTCAATATTGATATCATATGGAAGTTAATAAAAAGTTATGTTTTTCAGATATATTTTTTGTGAAAATAAAAAAGTTGTATAAATTTAAACAAATAGGTGTTTTTGAGTGTTAAATTATTTTTTATTTTTGTATATTTAATATTGTTGTCATTTAAGAAATAATAAAAAGTTATGAAATTTGATATAATTTTCATAATAATCAGAATATAAGTGAAAAAGTTATAACTCTTTAAAAAAAATATGAGATTTTATTTTGGTGAGACCTTAAATAATTAGAGTTGTAAGTAGCATTAGTACAATTCCTATACGAAATACTACTACTACCTTACAAAGCATTACTTGTGAGATTTTTTTAATGTGGAGTAGTTATTTTATGTTCATTGTGTTTGAGTAAGATTTCTATAATTAGGAGTCTAAAATTTATATATCTAGTGAAATTGTATTTGAATACAATTGTGTTAATCTATGTTTGAGAGAAAGTATGTTTTCACATGTTAGTTCGTTTGAAATCAATTAAAAAAGACAAAAAGTTTGACTTTACTGTTTAGACACTGTTTGACACATGTTAGGAGTCTAATGTTTTAATACTATCGGTATATTTGACCTACACACATATTTAGGAAATAAATTTGACTTTACTGTTTAGACACTGTTTGTCACTGTTTAGACACTGTTTGGCACTGTTTGCATTGACACTGTTTTGATGTATGCTAATTTCCATTTAGGGAAATGAGAAGATGATTTTGGGACGGCCCAAAAAGGAAACCAGGAAGTTAATAGCGGGACGGAGGGAGTAGGTGTTTTTGAGTGTTAAATTATTTTTTATTTTTGTATATTCAATATTGATGTCATTTGAAAGATAATAAAAAGTTATGAAATTGGATATAATTTTCGTAATAATCAGAATATAAATGAAAAAGTTATAAACTTTAAAAAATATGAGATTTTATTTTGTATGGAGCTTTAATACCATTCCTATGTGAAACGAAATACAACTACTATTGTACTAAGCATGCATTACTTGGAAAGTAATTTTAATACAATAATTGTGGAATTGACATATGACAACACTTTCCTTAATTGTAACCTTCAAATGTATTATTTATAAATTTGTGTACGAATACTCCTCCCTCTAATTGTATTTTACCAACTTTCATTTATTAAATAAATGTGAAGGTTCGGTGATAATTGAACTATATATTAAATATGGTGATGTAGTTTGTGAGAAATATGTAGTTGATTAATTACATGTAACATAAACCTTTTCAAATGAAAATAATTAAAAACTAAAAAATCAAGACAAACCAATTATTGCAATTGGATTAAACATATACTCATCGAGATTTTAAAATTTTCGAACATAACTCATGAATACAATAAACAACACAAATATCAAGTAAATGTGGGTAGACTCAATAAAATTCAAAGTTAAAAATGCAGAAAGTTGAAAAGTTGAAAATGATATAAGAATATAAAAAACAATCTTTTATCACAAATAGACAATATATCACAAATATAGCCAATATAGCCTTTTATGTAATGTGCATATCATATTCATTTTTTTTATATTGGCTCAGGTCTTTCTACACACACTGCATATCATATTCATATTAACAGTCCGATCCATGTATGTTATTCCTCAAAATAATATGTTATTCCTCAAAAGGGAGAAAGAGCAAAAATGACACTAAGGTTTTTAGGTAATCTTCTAGGCAGGGCGATCGACCTCCATTGTTCCCAACTTTAATCGGATGGGTAGATAACGACGAGGAAGGATTAGCGTTGAAGGGTGGTCAAAATGGACCCAAAAACTATAATTTTGTGTTTATTTGGTCTACTTAAAACTTTAGTGCCTAATCTGAGATTCGCTAAAAACCTTAGTGTCATTTTTTGTCTTTCTCCCTAGCCCCTTCCTGAAAATACTACCCTTTGGAGCTATGTAAGAGTTCATAATATAGAGATCAGATATCTACTAGACCAAACCAGGTTAAAAAAAATTCAACCCAAGTAAACACATCCTAAAATTAATAAGATTCGTTATCACCATTCAATTTCAAAGATATGAGAATGTAAAATCCTAAAATTAAAAGTCTCGAAGTTTTTAACGTAATATTTTGAAGATAAGACTATGCTGAAACCTGTGAATGTTGCACTTCACTTTATCTCAAGATCACAACCCAAACTGTTTACACAAAATATCCATAAGAAATAAGAATCGCTAAAAATGTATACGCCCACAATCCCACTAAACCACATATTCCCTACTATTCTCACTGATCAAATTTTCTTCTCTTGTGAGGTATCAAGTGTTTACCAATTAATCGGTGACATTAAACCTTTAGCATTTGAGGGGATGGGGCAACATGCTTCCATGTTTTTAAGCATAAAATATGTGGAGGGCTTAGCAAAATGAATACTCAAGAGTAATGAGATGTTAACAATAAAGGGTAAGAGTAATAAAAGTTAGGGTATAAAATAATTTTGATTAGACAAACTAACTAAATGAGGAAAGAGAGACAAGTAATAAAAACATCCCAATAGAAAATACGAGACAATTATTAGTAAACGGAGGAAGTATAATTCAATTACATGGATATTATTGTTGCATTTTATTTAACTACAACAATGTCGTTTTATTTATACTTCGTTGTAAACAGAGTAATTTAACGTGGACCCCCTCATGAGGAAAGTGTCAAATTTGATTGAGCCAATTCAAGTTATTCTTCATTTTTGTATTAAAACTTTGTTTTTGACAGATTTTTTTATAAAAACTATATCACTTAAATACATAAGATAGATTTAATTATATTAACAGATAAGTACTTAACATGTAAGTGTATTTATTACAATTAGCTCACCGAAAAAAAAAGTATACATGGATGAAACGATTCAAACATAGATAAAAATAAACAGTATCTCAAATTAGCGAATTTTCTACATAATAATAATTGTGAAAAAAGACACGGCGGGAGACGGTGGTTGTAACTGCGACAAAAAAAAGTCGGGAATTTTTTTGAAATAGGAGTAAACATATTTTGAAATTTCAAAATAAGTCTATCATATTTTTTCTCTAAATATGATTGATTATTGTCAAGTTTGAAAAATACTGTCATGACTAAAGTATGATACTCTCAAAACATGACAATAATTACTCGTATTGCAGAGAAAAAAATATGGCAATCCTATTTTGAAATTAAACATTTACACGTATTTAGACTTCTCAAAAAGGTCCGTGTGAATCTGGAACTTAAAGCCCAGCAAGACGATGCATATGAGTACGAAGTAGACAACTGTGTGCAAAATGATGGAGAGGGGGCTCGTCTCGAAAAGGCCGAAGCCCCCGCGAAGCCATCGTTTGTCACCCCCCACCTGGAAAAAAACTCCCGGCGACAAAACAATGAACAGAGCCGTCGCCGCAACCACCGGACCCCAATCCAACATTTCCGCTGTACGAAGGCGGCTCGACTACGCCGGCCGATCCTCTTTCGCTGGTTCGACTGCAACGCACACCAGGTTCTCGCTCAAATGCTTGAGCCGTAATTGGGCTACAGAGTAAAATATGTATAAGATGATCAAGGGAAATGGGATCGAATGAGTGCGGACACTTCTCTGTTTTTTGAATTTATTGTGCGCTTCCTTAAATTCACAGTCGTAACGCAGATATTTGGATTTCTATCATTCTATGGGGTCCAATGGTTCATTTTTCTTCATCTTTATATTCCGTGTTTGTAGCGTTGCTTACTTTTTTTACCCAAGCAGTAGTCAAAGAAAAAATAATTCATCCAAGGCTCCAAACATGCAATCATCAAGGTTGAATTAGATTATTCTTTTTGTGTTGAGCTGTATTCCTTACAATTCTTACTAGACATACTAGTCATAGGATAGGGGCTCTACAATATGCAATCATCATAGATCAATAGATGGTCTCACATGCTATTGAAAGCCAAAAAACCTGCATGGGCAGATTAAGCGGTGAAAAAGTTGGGAAAATGAACAAGGATCAAAACTCACAACAGCCGTGTGAAGATTACAGTTTTTGTGTGTTGGGTCGGACCTCTGACACACAAAGGTACAAGGTCAACTGAATCATCTTGATTGACATCCTACCAAAAATTTATTGGGTCGGGACATGGGGGCCTTGGGGTTGGGATTCAACCTCGGAAGAATTGAAAGCCAAAAAGAAATGGAAAAGGGAAAAAGAAAATATGGATGACCATTGTCCATTGTCAGGCTATTGGGACAGGACAGCCGTGCACATTTTCACCTTGGAGGGTGTTGTGATGGAACATCATCCCTAATTTAAAAAATTCTTTTTTAAAATATTTATAACTTTTTTTATTTTTACCCCAGATTTTATACTCCATAAAAATCATGAATTTTTACACGTAGCAATTTTTCATGACACTTGTATAGCATATATAAAATTTAAAAAAAAAAAACGCTGAAAATTTTTAGACCAAAAATACACAAAACACAAATTTTAATCAATGGTACTCCACAAATAGCCAGCCGAATTTTACAAAACTCGTTTTATTTTTTATTAACCGAAAAAGGTAAAAAAAAACTAATGAAATTTTTATTTTTTAACATCAAAGTGTATTTTTTAATTTCATAACTATCCAAAAAAAATTAAAGAAAAACATTACTTATGATAATTTAATTAATGTTTTACCAAACATGTAAAAAAAAAATACCGAGTGCATTTCATTGACTATGCTAAGTGATATACAAATAGCAATGTCCCATAAAAAATGGGGCCAAACCAAGTTAAAATAAGTGAAACAATTGGAATTAAAATACAAGCGGAGGATACGTTATCAATTTGAATTAAAATAAAAGTGGAGGATACGTTACCGAAACAATAAGATAATAAGCAGGTTGTTTTCCGCATAACGATGACACTGTTCCTGTAAATTACTACTACAAAATTAGCAATTCATTCCCGGTAAACTACAAAATTGGCAATTTCATGAAGCCCAGCCTCCTTGTAACATTTAGCAATCTGCTCGAGCCAATCATCCCAATTCCCGTCCACAGAAGCTAAATCCAGCACGAATGCAGCTTCATCCAGTGCAATCTAAAATTGTTTTGTGTGTATAGATACACAATTTGGATCATTCAAAAAGATGTTTTCATTTCAGAAATAAGAATGAAAGTAGAGCATTAGATTTGAAATCTAACAACTCTAAAAGTGCCAAAAATGGTGAAAAAATGGAGAAACTCAGTGGCATTTTGTAGTCAAGTGATTTTCTTTTCCACTGCAATCAAAGTGATTCGAAAATGAAAATTTTGCATTTCTTAGAAAAAGATCTCTCTTAAGTGACCCACACAACACACAATAAAGAAACAAGATGATTGTACTCTCTTGTGAAATTTATAATAGGAAGTCAAGCCAAGTGAACTTCCGTAAGACGTCAAAGTTTGATTCCGAGTGGAAACAAACTACGCACACTTTCAGAAGAACCCTTGGTGATCCTCTTATCTTTATATCAACTTTCACAAAATGTTTATGTAACCTAACTATGGCATCTTGTAAGAACCCCCCATGTTTGAAGTTCAACCTTAAAAAATTCAGATATGTGATAAGAAGTATTGGAGTGATTTTTATTGCTCCCTTACCTTACATATTCTCTTTATTTAAAATTTGTAATCCCGCTTGTGATTTTTAGAGTTCAACCCCCCCCCCCCCAATTCCTAATCCATACATACCACAATGGGTTAGACCTTCTCTTTCTCAAGTAAAAATGAAAGTAGCAAAAGAAAAAACTATTGGAGAGCTTATCAACCTGAGCAGCATCTTTTCCTTTCTTCAGATCTTGCTCTCTACCCTCTTCAGTCACTCTCTCTTTGATATATTCAATTTGTTCATCTTCCCATTCAGCCATATTTGCCACTTTCTACATAGAAATTTACACCAATAAGTGGGAGAGGCATCAAAATTCAGAGCATGCAACATGTTGAAAAGATTAATATTGTCAGAAACCTCATATTCACACCCCAAAGTCCACCATGGTAATTTTAAAGCACCCCTAGCAGCGTCTTTTGCTTCCACACCACGGCCAACCCTACACATGAAACAGAGGAATTCATATACTGATGTACTACAATGATAAAAACTGTTAATAAAAAAAACTTTAGCCAAAGCAGTGCTGAGATGTACTGACTTTAACAAAATCTCTGCATTAAAAACAAAAGGCCTGCCGAACCCAGGAAAATGCTCTTTCCTTGTATAGAACTCACCAGTCACCAGAGCTGAAATCTTCAATCACATGCATCACCAACGATGTCATAATCAAATCTTTATTGCACGGTAAGTGTGAACTATTATTTTCTTACATTATCCTCCTTATCAAAATGCTCCTTAATTTTGCGCTCTATTACATCCGGAAATAACCCAACCTATAAAACATGTTATTTTAAAATCAGAATGTGCTGGAGACATAAAAGAGGCAGTGTGAAATCATAGTGTTCAACTGCACCTTCTTCCAAAGGTAGATATCTATGCTTGGAATTTGAGATGCAGCGAAATCACCCCTTTGATAAAGTTTCTCTCCGGCACCAGCAGAAGCGTGAAAAAAGGCATCACTGTTATCATGAGAACTTGCATCTTCTTCCACCAAGATTCTGTGGATATATTGATCTACCTGTCCTTGGATGAAACATCAAGTAAAAGTGTGCTTCAATCCTTGCAGAAAAAACCCTTCATGTAAAGTCCTGTTGGCATATTGTGTATTTGAATTGTCTTACATTCTTAGCTAAAAGCCAAACCCCATACTTCGAAACCTCCACCACTGGCATCTCCATCCTGTGAACATTGGAATAATAAAAGAGAAGATAATTTTACACTTTAGCTCTGCATCTGCAGATCATTCCCATTTTTAGTCTCGTACGTTCACTTTTCTCACTTTTAGTGCAAGAAAATTTAATTCTCGACATTGTTGTCCTTTCAGTCACAAATCTGACAAGACTAACCCAGAAATTAGCCGACAAAGTGATATGGAAGGACAAAAGTTGCAAGGCATCTATAACTTTGCACCAAAAGTGGAAAATATGAAAACCTTTGACCAAATGTGAGAACGACCTAAAATGTGGGACCATAAGTGGAAAGGATCTATAAAAGCAAGAAATCATAGCAACAACTACATAAGTTTTCATCGGTTTGGTGCATTATATTACCCAGGTGGAGCAGTAGGCCATCGCAGTAATGCTGTTACAGCACCTGAAGGAAACAAAAATGATTACCATAAATATGAATACCAAAGGATCAGTTTTTGGAAGGTGGGTGTACCAAACCTGAGCTCTGTTTGGATAGAGGAATAACTAGAGGAAGCAATCCTTTCTTACTACCAGGAGAAACTAACTGCTCGCCTGTTAATCAGGCATTACATTGGTGAGAATATTGGCAAAGTACATGAATGGCTGATCTAAAAGGTACTAAGCAGTGTTCTATTGCAAAACCGAATGAAATAGCTAAGTTCTTGGCAGCTGTCTCACCTCGCATTTGAAGCATCTTCAGCAGACCATTCAAATTGTTTGGAGGTTGAGTTGCCGCTACATCTTTGATGAAAGATACATGATCTGCATTCCAGCTCAAAAAGAAATTAATTCAGCATCTAAATGTCACAATAGCATTGTTACAGCTAAAGTAGAACACATATACATGGATTTGTTATTTCTTTTTCCACAGAAGACCATACTTTCCTAATTTACTTAGTTAACCAATTCAGTACACGAGTCAAGAAATTAGTCTGAGGTAAAAAGCAATTGACTGAGCTAGGCCACTGGCCACCAAACAACCACTTAATGTTTGTGAAAACCAAGATACTGATCATTTTATATATTCATATAAGCTAGCAAGTCATCTTGAGTCAGGCCAACGATTTGCTTATCTATGTCCACCTAATTATGATGACCCAATTAATAAGCTCCAATGAGTTATAGTCTCTATGGGCATATTTACTTCATTTGAACAGGCAGTTAGGGTGTTCCAAAACAGGTGGAGTAGAAACAGCGAAATTGTAGATGGAAATGTGTACACAATACCCTACCCACATTAAGTATTTTACTATTTGGTAGACGAATGAAGTAATGAACTCCTATGAATTACTCACTAGGCATTTTTTTCGTTTTCTATACAGCATATACACGATATTGCCACTCATTTTATACCTGCAATTCTGCAAAATATGTCAGTTCACATTTTCACCTTTGCCCCTAAATCTCATTATCCCCTTTAATCCCCCTCCAGTTTCCAGTCACAGGGGAAACTGGGGTTCTCGTGGTCATCCCATCACTAATGGCCATCACCTCAGTCCAATAATAAGAAGCTCAAATATCACACTCCCTAACTAAGGCGCACTTTAGTTCTTGGAAAGTAACATATGGTAGTAATATAGTATTAGTAAGATGGTATGAATGTGCAAACATGTTACTGAAGACTTAATAAATATTGATCCGTAACAGGAATATTAAAAAGTCATAAGTATAGCAAGATTAACACGAAAAGTATTTTGATTTGAGTGTTTAGACAGATGTTTAATAACATGTCAATTCGAAAGTGTTTGAACATTACAGCTTGTTTGGTTGGCTTTCTTTATTTTTGCTAATCAGAATATCAATCTTATTAATAAGAGTACGTACACACTTATTTGAGTGTGGTTGATTATTCATTGATGAAGAAAGAAGTAAAGCAGAAAGTAACCTGTTTTCATTAAGTTGTTGCAATGGAGGGATTTAGATTTCTACTCTAATTTAAAAAATTGATTTCTTCAATTTACTTGAACAATGTAATTTAAATTATCTTTTCAAAACTTTAGCATTTCCAATGAATTCAGCTACATCAGATCTCAGCCTCAATTTCAGCAAGTCAACACCTTTAGGCTTTAGTCACAACAAGTAAATTTACACATACTGAAGGAGCTGTTAATTTTCGAAAATGCATCTTGAGAATAATGGTTGAAAACGAAAACGGAATGCTTAGTAATACACAAAACCCAAACCAATTAGATATAATTTATTAAGTAATATTGCAACTTCTTTATTTAGCGTTTAGGAATGCTTTGATAATTTAGCTTTATCATGATGCTTTAAAACTCTTTCAAATACTTAGCCCCCATCTGGGATTGGGGTTACGGCTGGAAAGCTCCTTTTAGCCCAATGGCTATCCCAAACATTTTATGGTTTTGTCCAAAAGCTTATTTCAATGGCCAAAAGTAGCAATGATGACTGTTGTTTTTCAGAGGTTAGTTCCTTGTGACTTTTCTGTTGCCATAATTGCATACAAGGTTAAAATATACTTTTTAGAAATTTAAGTTTATATTGGGGAAATACAAGTATACAACCCGACCTTAAGTATCACAAACTCGTAAGACTCTTACACACTCACTCACACACTCATAACACAAAGACTCATGTGATAATATGAATTTGTAATATGCAACAAAATGTACAAGAGAGATTTTACATGAATATGAGAAGTTTATTTCACTATTTGTAAATGCCTAAATGGGACTAGTAGACTGCCTCACTAACACCCCCAAGTACACATTCTTTAGTTCTTTCCCCTCACAAGAATGCTCTCACTCTACTCTCTCAAAGAGGCTCACTATTCAAAAAAGCTTTCACTCTCACTCTTGTAAGAACCCTCCTTAGGAATGAGGAGTTTCACCCCTAATTATTCTAATCTTTATAGTATTCTATAATCCTACTACACTTCTAGAGTTCTAAGTTTTCACAACTTCTATAATCTTCTGGCCTCCATACTTCTTTAAATGCTTTAGACGCTTCCACAAAGTCTAGAGTATTCTACACTCCTATCGAGAGCTCCAAGGGTTTTAGAATATTCTATACTTTTCTACATGCTTCTGGAAAATTCTTCACTTCATTGGAAAGCTCCATAAAATTCTACAATACACAATACTCTGCATACATCTACAAAATTATAAACATTTCTAAAGTAATCTAGAGTTCTCTTAAAACTTCTCAATTAAGAGGCACCTCAACAAAGTTTAGCATAGTACTGTTTAAACACAAAACCAAACAATTATAACTCCTAAGATCACTTCATTACAGTAATTTTCAAAATACTTTTCAAAAGTAATTTTATAACGTGATAATTTTTTTCCCGATTTTAATCTCAGACCAGCACTTAGGCCTTCATATGAGTTACTTTACTTGAAATGACATTTTTTAAGACATATGGTCATAAGAGATTAGCCAAGAACCCTAAAATGTAGATCATTTCATTGTTACAAGCAAGAAGTTTGGAATGCCTTTGTACACACGAAAATTTAGAGCCATTTTTAGGAGGTTCAATAGGTTGTACTGAACAGGGTCTTCCGATTTATGGGGCCCAAACTTCAAAAAAAAATATTAGTATTATATAATAATATTATACGTAGTATATTAATACTAATAAGTAAAATACAGTTAGTCAGGAAGAAAAATACAATAATATCATTTTCTCCGTCGGTCCTTTTACTCATCTTTTACTCAAATTGATTGAGTAATAAGTTGTGTTGCTTTAAATCAAGTTTTAAGTAACTTTTAGAATTTTTTATTACATTATTTAAAGAGTATTCAATTGACTTGGGTAAGTATTTAGATTGATTTTTGTTGTAATTTTTATATTAATGTAGGTCACTATTTTACATTTGGAACCGGGGTCTTTAAATTCATTAGACAGCTGTACGAAAATACACAGCTTGATGCATACATTAGAACTGAAAAGGAAATGAACTAAAACTACCATACTGTTATATAACAGAAACTGAGAAATTCTCCGTACCGGTAGCGTAGCATCTGAATTCAGTTTTGAAGCGGCAAAAAGGAGTGCTGGGAATGATGGCGGCGGGTAAAAGGCCGGGAAGTGTTCCGCCGCACATCTTCATCGGACGACAAATTGCTTTGATATTGTAATTGCAGTAGAGTCGCTCTGTCGCATCAAGGATAAGATGAGGGGGGGATTTTGTTTGGTTTGTACGGAAGGAAAGAGTCGATTAAGAGGCGTTTGGACCCGATTCTTAAACTGCTTCTATTCTAAGACTCTAAGACTCTGTTTGCAATAAAAGCTAGAGTGTTTTGGTGAAAGTGGTTGCATTTTAAAAAGTCTTTGTTTTTGCACTCCAACCCTGTATGAAAAGACAAAAATGTCCCTCCATTAACAATTTTGTTAGCTTCAATATATTCTTGATCAAGGGATATTTTTGTCTTTTACGTGGGATTGGGTGCAAAAACAAAATTTTTTAAAAACGGAGTGTAAAGTCCAATTTGGACAATAAAATGGGGTGCAAACTCAAATTAACCCAAATTATAACTAGTGAGAAACGATTCAGGGAGTGTTTGTGGTTACTTAAAAAAAGCGCTTTTCAGCTTTTGGCTTAAAAAAAGTTGAAAAGAGTGTTTTCAAATGACAGCTTCTGCTTAAATTAATCACTTAAAAGCTAAAAGCTGGAAGCAGGTAGAAGAGTGCTTTAAACTGCTTTTCACTTTTTCTATTACACAAAAAGCACTTATTTTACCAAACACTACCAACTTTTACTTTTTTAGAATCACTTTTTTCTCAAACACTACCAACTTTTACTATTAATCACTTTTCCCAAAAGTACTTTAAAAAATCACTTTTTTAAAGTTGAAGCAATTGCAAACACTCCCTCACTCTTTCCAATCAACTTTCCAACCTTGTATTACCCTTCGGAATAAGGTACAAATAGGGTGTGGGAATTCTTGCTTAAGCATTCTCGGAGATTTACAGGGAGAAGCAGTCAAACGGCTGAGATTAGGTAAAACCAGAGAGGGATTCTCACGAGAAAAGGAATGAATGGAACAGAGCAGATGGAGAATAATAGCGGAATGAATATATGGCGATTAGGGGCGGAAGTAAAAATTACGAGCCCGTTTGGTAGGACAAACGCTTCATCCTTATATTTTTACTAAGAGCATATCCAATGTAACAATGTCAACGCTTCACATATGGCATGAGGGGAGTATATATAGAAATATTAATTTAAGTTAATGAAAATCATGTTTCTTTCTTTACACGATAAAATCGGCTGTTTTGGCTGATTCTGCTGAAATTTATGAAGTTCTGGCTGAAGTGGCTGCTTTGGCTGTTTCTGCTGATTTAAGTAAAAAAAATTTTAAAATATATTTTATTAATAAAATTAAGAAAAACTTATATGTAAAAATAGCTAAAATGGTCATCTACAGTAACTTCAGCCAATACAGCCAGAAAAGTAACACCAACCTTACTTTTTCTGCTTATTACACTATTCAGCGCGTGAAAGTAAAAGTTACGTGTTTGGTGAAAAAGTTGGCTGATAAGCCTGATAAGCCGAAAAATGAGGTTACCAAACGGCCTCTACATACCTCAATCCGCAGAAGACAGAGCTGCACGTTAACAACCTGCAGTTGATTGAGGAACGAGGGATAGGACGGGAAATGAAAGTCTGGAAACGAGCGACTGAATACGAACGCTTCTTCCCCTAACGTTTCACTTCAGCCCTTCAAACAAACAGCATTATTTTTTTTTAAATGACTGAATTTAATAAATTCCAGCTCTTTTTTAGCTTAAGTGGCATGCCGAACACAACCTAAGAAGCTGATCTTCTTCAACTTCTAAAAAAACTGATTCTATGAGTAAATTAGAGCACCATAATCACTTCTGCACTTTCCCTCAAACACTTCAACTTATGTTTCTGCTCCCTGAAAGAGAAGAATCAGTTTTAAGAATCAGATCGAAACACCCCCTAACTACACCAAATTGTATGAGGTGGAGTAAAGAGTACACTATATTTCATTTGATTTTTTAAGTACACAAATTCATATTTTTAGTGTTAATTGAGCACACCCGTTAGATTAACACTTTAATACAACTGAGCTGACTAACGAAATTTTGAGTAAGAAGGGGTAATGGATCAATGTTATGGCGCCGATCTTCACGAAGTAGACCAAAAAAGAAAAATCGACCTTCAGAGGTCGACCTGCAGGGGCGTCAGCTAGCAGGGGTGCATCGACTAAAGAGAAGTCGACATGCGCGGATTGACGTCGACCAAGGAGAAGTCGATGAAGTGGTTGGGGGTGGCTTGACCTTCAAGGAGTCGACCTATTAGTGTTTTGTTAGCCAACTCAACCGTATTAACGTGTTAACCTAATGGATGTACTCAATTAACACTAAAACTCCGAATTTGTGTGCTTAAAAAGATCAAATGCAATATCGTCGGCTCTTTACTTCATCTCATACAAGTTGATGTACTCAATTTACCCTTACCTCGTTTGTATAGTATTAAGATTTATATAAGGATAGGAAGTTTGGATTTTCCAGAGATGAGGGAGATGGAGGTCAGTAGGTAACTAAGGATCAATTCATTACAAACGTAAGGAACTGGGAGATGACTACTCATTTACAGATTTTGTATCTTAGTTCCATTGTTTAAATTTTCGCGCTCCTGTACTTGAAGATGAACACGCATTGAAAGAGATCGGGACCAAAGATAGTCTAATTGTTTAGGGTGATAAATTTCTGATTAACATGATTGTGATGATTTTGGTTTTGCAAGGGTAAATAAAGATTTTTGGCCCAGTATTTAGTACAGATTCAAACAGTAATGTCGGCGACCTAATTCTGATGTTGATGGAAATTTAGTACTCTGTAGTAACTAATTTATTGACTAGAGTGGAGTAATGAATTTGTAGTAACTTAAAGAGACGTAATTGTGATCTTTCTAGGAGTATGATAACTACCTTAAGGATATATATAGGAATAAAGTAATGGAGATATAGAACAAATTAAGTACCGAATTCTTAGTAACTATGGGCAAAGTAGGGCCTTTTTAATCTAATATTACTAAAATGAATGAAAAAGATAAAAATGTGACCTGGTTTTAGAAATTCTAAAAATGTGACTAACATCACCCCTAACCCTGCAGGTCAAAGTGACTCTGGTCAAAGTGACTCCGACCAAAGTGACTCCGGCTAAATGAACTCCGGCCAAAGTGACTCGCCCCGCCGGTGACAGTGACTACCCCACCGGCGATACTGACTACCCCACCGCCACAGTGACTGCCACAGTGACTGCCCCACCGCCACAGTGACTGCCCCACCGCCACAGTGACTGCTCACCGGGCACAGTGACTGCCCCCCTGGTCCGCGGTGACTGCCTGTCAACCGCTAAAGTGACCGCCCGCCAACCGGCAAAAGTGACCACCTACGAACCTGCCACAGTGACCATCGCTGTTGTCGCCACCGCGCCCCAACCCTGTCCCTACCCAGCCCCCCTCAACAGTTTGAGCTCCCACCAGCCCAGCCCTGCCCAGATCTAATCACCTCCCATGCCCCCAACTTGCCTAAGCCTGCCACCAACTCCCCTAAGCCTGCTACCATACACCAACAATGGTGAAGCAGCTGCACTGAATTGACACCCATCGATCGCCGCCCATACAGTCCCAAACAACCACCGCCTCCAGCCGCCAACCCTAGATTTAGGCGCGAACAAAACGATGTAGGAGATTTAGATCTAGATCTAGCTTCAGTTGGGCTTTAATAACTGGAGTGAAAGGTCGAAGACGACGGCGGCGGCACGGTCCAGAGCAGGCGGCAGAGCAAGGGACTGACGGAACGAAACGAATCGCTCCACCATCGGCTCTCGTCAACATATCTGTTCTTCCAGTTTGGAACAAGGTCACAACGCCTGAAGGTTTGGATGGCCTAGCGGAGATGGCGGCGTTGTAGGGACAACTGATTCTGTGGAGTTTCGATGCTGCGCTGCTGGATCGGAATTGTTGGATGATGGGATGCCTGAATGATGCGCTGCTGGATGTTTTGATGGAGCGAAGGAGACGATTTCGTTGGGGGAGATGGGGCGACGGTTTTTTTTTAAATAAGTCATAGTTTTGGAAATTGTAAAAGTTGTCATATTTTTTGAAATGAAAACTCTAATACTAATATTGAGGCAATTTTTTCGCAAAGTAGTGATCACGTAGCCGAATTTGTAGTAAGGTAGTTGTAGTATATAGTAATAATGAATTCTAAGTAATTGCGGATGTCTGTAAATATTCTTTGGATTTTGAAAGAGATAATACTAATGGAGTTAAAAACTGAAACGGAATACAGATAAAGCCAAGAAGATATGGTAAATTAGTTGGAAAAAGAGCATGTGGCCGTTAGCAAGAGCCGAAGAGGTCAAATAAGGAATATTTAGATCGGGTTTATATGAATTTAATATGAGAGAATGTTTAGTAATATTTTTGTTAATGGCTCTCTAACTAGTAATATAAATGTAATTTTTTCTATTAAAATTCACAATATTTAATTAAAATTTGTAATAAATAAATAGATAAATAATTTAGATGGACCAATATACCCTCTAGGTTATATCTATAAATACCTAAGCTCCTAATTTTGTCTCTAACCCTAGCCTCCATTCTCACACCTCCATAGATCCGCCCGTCTTCAACCGCATGCCCCTTGCCGCCTCCGCCCATGGCCCGTCGTCCGCCGCCGCTCCGTGGCCCGCAGCACAACCACTTGCTGTCGCCTGAAGTCGCTCTCTGTAATCTTCGTCTCTTTCTCAATTATGTTCTTCGTGCAGTCGGTGCAGATGGAGAAGGTGAGATGGAGTTAGGGTCGTCGTTGAGTGGGTCCCCACCCAGAGTTTCGCTGGCGAGGAAGCGGATGAAGAGGTTAGAGAGAGCTTCAGTGGAAGAATATTAGTGGTCGTCCGTGCGGCTGTCGTCAGATGACTCCGTTCACGCAAATAATTTGCCAACGACGTTGATTGTCTCTGTGGGATTTGAAAGACGTCTTGATGAGATCACCTTCTCTATTTCGCATCACCGCGCCACTAGAAGATCTACTGGGTGTATATGAAGCATCGACATTTTATTTCAAGTAGATTGTTCGACCTCATCCACTTAATTAGGCTCACATGTTTTTATCTTTCTTAGAGCATCCCCATTGGTGAGTTTATTTGAAGATTAATTAGATGATGTGTCAGATTATTTTGAAGATTAACATTGAGTGAAAGAGATTATTT